TCCCTACAAAGTTTACAATACAGACATTAAAATAATAGGGCTATGGGAAATTTTTTAAACTTCCCAAAAGGTTTCCTGCAGGTCACTGACTGATGGTACGAAATCTTGCCATTTGACCCAGAGGAAAAGGTTTTTAATTTTGCACCTTTTAAATTCTGTGCTTCCTGCAGAATACTTAGGTATCTGAAAATAAAAGCTTAAGTATTCTCATTTAGCTTTGTGTGAGATTATTTATATAGTAAACATGAGAATTATTTTGCAGAAAGTGTGTAACTGGCACAGATACAATTATACTAATTCAATAATGATTAAGAATTACATTTACTGAGATGCTAAATACTTAATTTTTCTCTGAGCTTTATCACACCAGAAGGGAAAAACAAGGACTCCACAGGCTTTCTTCTCCTTCCATTTTCACTGCTATGTGGAGATAAGCAGTGCTGTTACCAAAGGCATCTTCCCAAGAGGCACTTGGCAGACAATGTGTTGACTTCACGCAAGAGAATTGTGAGTTTCAGCCAGCTGACTTCTGTGTCAACCGAGAAGTCTGACGGAGCAGTATGACAACACCCTCTCAGCAACACCCTGATGCTCGCCGGTAAATCCAGCTGTGCTGGAAATGGCATTGGGAGCTGGCTTCTGCCTCCTCCTGCACCAACCATCACAGAGTGCCTGCTGGTTCCTCAACCACTTCAGCTTCCAGTGCAAACTCATTTTTCTCAGTGGTTTAGGCTATTACAGCGAACTCAGAGGCAAGGAGGCTGCAGTGCGGCGCAAGCACAGTCTCTTTGCCAGCTCTGCTACAGAAGCTGTAGCCACCAGCAGAAAAGATAGTTCCTACTGTCTTAAAATGTCATCCCAGAACAGTTATCCAGCAGTACTACTGCTGGGCAATGCAGACTCATGACAACAGCACTGAACTCTAAAGAGAAAACCTTTTCTTTTACATTTCCTGGAAGCAGTAACACAAAGCTTCAATGTGCAAAATTTTACTCCATTGAAACTGCCAATGTTCAGTCCTAAAGAAATGAAGTATTTCCATTTAAAGGACATTATTTAGATAGGTTTATGTGAAAAAAAGCGCTTTGAATTGTCAACATGGAATCTGTTCTAAATCTACAGTTTAATTACATACACCAGGAGGGCAGAGAATAACAATACTACTAACCCTACTTAGATTTTCTGCAGCACTGTCATAGATGGACTGAACGTAGAGAATACAAAGTATTTTCACACAGAAACAGATCATTTTATCTAAAGGAAGCCTGTGTTGGGTAAAGAGAAAGAAATCATAGGGTACTGAGGAGTTGAATGAGGTCAGGCTTCCCAGTGAGGGAAAAGGTGGAATAAATGGATAGAGAATATGGCAAAACATCACAAAACTACGAGCATGTGTTGGAGGCAAACTTCATAAGAACCTAGAAAAAAAGAATGAGATTATGGACTTTAAAAAACTAAATATGGATAGTATTCTTACTAAGAGTAACTTGCTATATACATAAGAACAAAGAAATAAAAGGCAGAAATGAACAAAATAATGAAATCTCACAAAAATAATTTCTCAAATTTTAAGCAACTCTGTAAAGGAGGGCTGGCAATAGAGTTTTATGTCAGCCTCACAGGAAAAGTTTATTCACACAAAAGCAAAGACAAAAGATAAGAAAAATGTAATGACGAGAGGGTTTTGTGGACCATGAAGCTGTCTGAAGCATAACATGACAAGCTGGATTCTGCAAACACAGCCTACAAACAAGTGAAAATATTGTAGGGCAGAGAAACTTGTTGAGAGTAAGGGAATCTGAAGTATGTTCAGAAAATTAGACGACAAAGCTCAGTTGAAAATGTAGAAAAAGATTGACAAATCCTAAAAACTACTGAAAAGACTGGACAATACCCAGCATATGGAAAAAAAAAAATTTCTTGTGTTCTGTGCAAGAATCTGGTGATGCTGATATGACAAAAAACCAGTGAATAGTAATTTGGCTTTTAAAGCCTGTACATCCTTCAGAAATCAACAGAGAACCAGCTCATTTCTCTTGCCCTTTCTCCCTGAGAACAGGGGAGCTTCTGCCAAAGCATGAGCTTAAAATGGTGATTAAGATAACAAAGCCATGCATGTAAGAACTGTGTAATAGTGGTGGAAATACAGTGTTCACGACTCCCCCCTTCTGCCTTGTGTTCAGAAGCTCCTCAGCATTCTCAGTGCTACTGTGGTAGTATTTCTTCAAATGTTTACTGTCAGCCACCCTTCTGGCATATTGACAACATTATCACATAAGCAAAAAGTGAAAAAACAGATTATTTCATGGGATACAATCATTCTTTCTGATCCAATCTCAAGGGGTTTCCATAAGCAACAGTTGAAAATACTTTAAAAATGAAGCTTTAAAACACTTTTTATTGTATGATAACAACATAGGCATGTCACAATTTTTCTGCATGTTGAGGTTAGTTAAAAGCAGAAAGGATTGAAGTCTTTCATAAAGCAGCTTTAAAAACTAACATGCAACTGGATTCAATGCTCAGAAATGTCTGTAGATAGAATAATAGGATTATCCCTATGAGCTTCTGGCTGCTGAAAAAAACTGTAAGAGGTAAGAAAAAAGTTCTAGGACTCTATACAGATAGTTCAATGGAAAGCATGCTGCAACGTGTACTGGCAGTTAAAGCAAGCGAATATTAGGTTGCTAAAGACAAAGGAAAGAAAACTAAAACTCCATTGATATAAAATGATGCTTCGGTCAGAGAAGAGATAAATGAGGGTTGCATGCAAAACAGAGGATGGCAGGCCAAATTATGAACCTGAATGCATTTCCCCAGCCTCTACAATGACAAATGAAAATCACTGAAATTTAAAGAGACTGTATTTTAAAGTGGAAGGTTTTCAGCCCAACCCTCTCCCCCAGAATTTATTAGCTTAAAATAACACGAAGATTAAGAACACAGGAGGGCATAAAACAGATTGGATGCTACTAAGAAAAGCTTTTTTTCCTGAATGCTGTGCAAAATGTCAAGTTTCACAAAAAAGAAAAACCCAACACACATTTCGAGCAAGCTAAACATTTGTCCTGTTGGTGTTTTACTTCTGAAGTTGTATATTGCTGTTTCCAAAACATTCTTCAGGGGCAACTGATGTGGGCCACTGGCTGGGGTGGAGTGCTCGTTTGAAGTCTTACAGACGTCACTCACTCCATTAATGGCAGTAACTTTTTATCTCCATAAACCACTCATTCTTTGACCTCTTCTGTCTCTCTCATTCTCTTCAATGCTAAGACGACAAATATTTCGGCCACCCTTGACAATCATAAAAGAACTATCACTAAGTGTCGTCTTCTCAATCAGTATAGTGTAAATCTTTCCCCATATAACCCTTAAAATATGCTTATTGAAATTTCCAATCCTTTTCAACCTATTGACAAGGAAATAGCAAAGATAATGTAATCCTCATCAAATACTCACAAGATCCTCTACTCTAATTCTTCCACTCAGTTTATCCCTCAGTTTCACAGCCTTTCATATATCTTATTTTATTCCCTTCTTTTCATATACATTTTTCTCCTTACCTTCCACTTAACTGTAATATTTTTTTTCTCACTGTATGGCAAGTGCAGCCTAATATAGGCTCAAATCATATCTCAATCCTCCTGTCTGCTTTACTCAAAATCTAAGTCAATCATGGAACGTGTTTTGTTGTCGCACTGCCATTCACTGGTATGCATCTATTCAACACAAAATAATAACAAAGTTTGAGTTTCTAGCATTCCATCGCTTCTTGTACCAGCATTTGATTAATTGTATGTTCGGATGTCTTGCACCATGAATGGTCTTGTTTACTACGGGCAAAGCAAAAGCTGCAAGCAAAACAAAACAAGGAATTCCTTCACCCCATGGGCAGGCAGGTGTTCAGCCATCTCTAGGAAAGCAGGGATCCATCATGTGTAATGGTGACTTGGGAAGACAAATGCCATCACTCCAAATGTCACCCCGCTTCCTTCTTCTTCCCCCAGCTCTTATTGCTGAGCACGACGTTACACGCGATGGAATATCCCTTGGGTCAGTTGGGGTCAACTGTTTCAGCTGTGTCCCCTCACAGCTTCTTGCGCATCCTCAGCCTCCTCGCTGGTGGGGTGGCGAGGAGAAAAGGCCTTGACTCTGTGTAAGCACTGCTCAGCAGTAACTAAAACATCCCTGTGTTAGCAACTTCAGCACAAATCCAAAACCATACCACCTACCATGAAGAAAATTAACCCTATCCCAGCCAAAACCAGCAACCGGGCTTATAGCCTGCCGTGGATGACTTGCAAAAAAGCCGCTCACTTTGCAGAAAAGAAAGTATTCCTGAAATTTTTTTAAACCAACTCAAAATGCAGCGAGTAGTACATACAAAACTAATTCATAAGAGAACATAAAGGTCTTAAATCTTTTCATATATCTGCATATTCCTTACATATATACATATATATATATGAGTTTCAAGGTGTATTCTAAAATTTTTACCCAATATAATGCATGAATCTATAAAAGTAGCAAAAACTGATGCATGGGAAGAAACTGTTTTCTGCAAGTTCATTGAAAAAAAGTCAGATTACGCACATTTCAGTAATGGTTTCTGGAAGGTTTGTTGGGATCTCAGTAAGGCCTTTCCCACGACAGTCCACAATGTTGTTACTACAGGTGCATGCAGCAGGGCAATGCAAGACACTGCAGGACGGAGCCATGAAGGATTGGTGGCCTGCAAAGGAAAAGAGTTTCTCCTAAAATCACACAATACTGTCAAGCAGTAGTCCAGTTCACCTTGACATTAAAACATCACATTTTATACCTCTTTGAAAAACTTAACACAGAACTTCTAAAACAAACATTGTAGCCTTTCAATAGTTTCAAACTGCATTCATTTAAATATCCAGTTAACAGCAACCTGTCTATACAATGCTGCAGGATGAAAGACAAATGCTCAGCTACAGTGCTAGCTTTTACATCACCTTCCAACTTCTCTAGCAACTTACATTCAAAACCATCTTGGCAAAGAAGAGTAAGGGTGATCCATTTTTCAGTTATTTTTTCATTTATTCCATGGTGTTGAAACCTAATTATGGATTTATTTGGTTTTCAGAATTTTGTTGTATTAAAAAAGCAGGTCAACAGAAATGAATGAACTGAAGATGTCCTGCTAGTTATATTCTGCTCTGTAGGTACTTATTTGAGTATAGTCCTTCAGTTATATATCACAATGCACTCATTCTTGTATCGATTTAAGGATAAAGAAATGCTGTTTTGTAATGATACAGAAAGCACAAAAGGAAGAGAAAGGCAAGAAGCCCTCTTCTTTACGAAGGTAAAAAAAACTCTAGAGACTTTTGAAATTTACAGGGGAAAAAAATCTTCACTATGAAACCAAAACTTAATTTAATATCTCTCTCGCTATATTTAATGGCATATATTAACATAGGAAGGGTAGACTGATAACATAAGTTGGAGGCAGTGCTATTCCTGCTTAAAACTTCACGTAACAACTGCTCAAATTTTAATAACTGAAAAGGTTATTTTTTTGAGATAGTAGTTTGAAATAAAACAATGTGATGTCACATTTACGCACGTGTTGTGAAAGTATCAACAGCTGCCAAAACTAATAACATACTACTCTTTTTATGCTAACATACATGAAATATTTTACCTGCCTTTATTAAACAAAAACACAGTGATCCAGGGAGAAAACAGGGTTATTCCCCTTCCTCAAAATCAGCATTATAATGACCAAAATATAAAACTGCTCTCGACATGGGCTCTGCAGCCATACCACTTACAAATAAGATATATGAAGCGATCTTGTTAGGAGTTCTTTCAAGTGTACATAAAGACAGAATTAATGGCAAGAATAATTTTAGCATTTGCCATCAGTACTTTACACTTTGATGTCAGAGGCTGTTAAATAAGGAGAAAGCATTGTGTTTTCCATAAAAACTCTTTTAAAAGCACAGATCTGTGCAAATTTTGGCCTATTTTGCAACAGGCTTCCTGGGGTCTGCAGAAAATCAACCAGTAGAAATAACCTGCTCAATCACTGAAAAGACAGATAGTTAAATTACATCTGGTTTGCAATTTTTTTGAGGAAACTTGAAACAGTAGACAAAGTTTACAGAAAATTGTCAATTGTAGTGTAAAAATATTTCAGTAAAAAAATATAAACTTGCCTTCTTCCTCATCTAGAAGATATGAATAAAGAAGAAAAAAATGGAATAGAGAAAATGTGATTAGTAACGAACTGTTAGTCATTTCATTATTTCATATCAGAAAATAGTCTCATGCACTAAAGCATACCAATAACATTCAGAAAGTTACTTAGGGATTCAGAATATTGTAACTGCAGAATATAGCAACAAAAAGCAACAATCTGAAAAGTTAAAAAAGAGTAATTCCTTGTAACTAAAGGCTTTACGTTCTCGGTCAGTGCACTTTTTATTTCATTTTCTGCATCTCTTTGATAATTATACTTTTAGAAAGCTATATAATGTGAATGAAGCATTTACACAAGACTTATAAAGACAGAACCACTCCTCCCTCCACCCCCCCCAGGAAGAAACAGCGATAAAAATGAGTTTATTTTTTAATAAGCATTAACGCTTGGATTACGGAAAAGCTAGCAAAAGTCGACATGCAGCATGAGACATCATAGAATCACAGAATCATAGAATGTCCTAGGCTGGAAGGGACCTTAGAGATCATTTAATCCAACCTCCCTGTCATGGGCAGGGACGCCTCTCAACTAGATCAGGCAACGCATGGGGACTGAATGGGGATCAAACCCACAACCTTGGTGTTATCAGCACCACGCTCGCATCGCCGTCGAGCTCTCGGTGCTTTACACCAGGACTTGGCAAGCAAGGATTCCCTTACCGCTGCAGACAAACTCTCGTTTTTGGACCTCGGCAACGTTGTGTCCCCGGAGGTGAGACGGCCCCATGCACTGCGTGTAGAGGCCAACTCGCGGCCGCTGCCGCAGCCAGTCGGAGAGCCAGGCCAGGTGGCAATCACAGTAGAGATTGTTGGAGTGAAGACGACTGCATGGAAAGAAACATGTCAATATCTTCAAATTAGGAAGAACAAATGAAAAAGTAACCAATTTTCCCAGTGCCCCCCCTTCAATAAGCAATCGTGTCAATTTATTAATAAACATTGTTAATGAGGAATCATTTTTTCCCATCTTTTGTTGCAAGTCTGAGGGTTAAATGCTAATAAACAAAACTATACAAGCAGCAAAATTACTTTTTATTTGTGGTCTAATTAATTGGAAGAGAAAAGAAGGCTTCATAATAAAGTAACCTATCTGTAGTTTCTATTCTCTTGTCTAAATGAAAGAAGTAAATATACAAGAGCTTGAAAGCTGCTGTGGGACTCTTTAGTCCAGATCTGTACAAATAGTGAATAAGACAAAAATGTCTCAAGTAAATTGTGCTATAGTGATAATATACTATCAGAAAAAAGACTTAATAGAAGATTTGCTTTCCAATTAGATATATCCATAGGTCTGGCTATTATTAGTCTCTATAGAAACAGCCTGCAAAATCCCTTTAACAGGTCATATTCATTTTCTGCTGAACAAGACAGAGTAATAACAATATAAACCACCTTCTTTCACATCCCCTTTCTGATTTCCTCTCTTTTTGTTTAATCACAGAAAGGGGGATTAGCTGCTTTTGGATCCTAGAGATCTACGTTCTAAGCAATGCCTGAAATTAAAAGACCAAATGGCAGCAAACAATGGAATTAAGTAAGTCGCCTTTCTGTTGGCAGGGTCCAACACAAGACCATGGCTCCTTGCCAAGTGGCAAAAAGCACTTTGCCATTGATAAAATACCAGACAAATGTATTCGCTAAATTAGGTAAATTACTTTTCTCTGGCTCTTACATTTTCACAAACTACAGACAAGGATGTCCACAGCTATAAATCAAATCCTTTCTCAGAACCATTCATAACAAAGTAATGCCATTTTAGTCCTTTTTAGCTGATGTGCTGAATCCTAACTACATAACCGGAAAGGAAGTGCAAGACTTTAGACAAGGGGTCTAATTAATCCATTAAAAAAAACCCCTGTAAAGCAGCATGAAATGTGTAACCAACATAAGCAAACGATTTAACAAACTCACTTTCCCCGCCCCAAATAACTAGAAATTAAAGGCAATGTATCTTCCTGTACTAATTCTTGGGTGGGTGCTCTGCAAATATAGCTCCCAGTACAGCACGCTCAACCAGTACAATCTGTAGCCAGCTGTAGGCAAGAATACCATTGCAAATCAGAACTAATGCCACTGAAATCAATATGGTTATACAAGCATGTTCTGACTGCAAATGGGATGTTAGAGCTAAGATCTAGGACTCTGTGTCCATTGTGTTTTGTTTCTAAAATACATTTTGAAAAGAAGACATACTCTACCAAAAAAGTGTAAATGTTTCTAATTTGATTCACTGTAATTTGGGGTTCAGACTATGAATCATCTTTGAAGGTCTGCAAGAGGTAAAGGCATTCATGATTTCAAATCTCAGACCCAAAAGAATGGAATGAAATTCTATTCTCAAAACATAACCGAGGCCACCCAAAGCCCATGGTCAGCTCTGTTTAAGTACTATTGTATTTCCCCAAGAAGAATAGTTACTACTCTGTTATGAAATCAGCAGAACTACTCATCTGTGTGAAGTTTCCTCAGTTATGAATGGTATATTATCTTGAGTAAATCAGCCCTACTGACTTCAGAAGAGTTGTGCAACCCAACGTGCATAAAAGAAAACGGACAGGCTCTTTGTAAAAGTAGTTCTTTAACAGTAAGAGCTTCTCATAAACTCTGACAGAAACATCCCCACTTCCCTGGAAAAAATCTGTTTGAAACAGATTCTTAGGACTAAGCCTTGTTACATTCTGGTTTTGCCACTCAATACAATATACACTTATTCTTACTTCAGTATAAACATACAAAAGAAATAACCCCAAACAGCATCACTTGCACACACACTCTTTTCACTGTGTTTTGTTTTAGAAGCCTGAAGTGTTCTGTGAAAGTCATAACCTCTAAAAATGGGGACCTTATTGTAAATGCTGACACAACGTTAATTATAATAGCACCACCGGATGATGCTGTAATTTTATGTTACAAAGAATGTTGGAGAGCCAGTTTAGTTTAATTAGGTCTGCTAGCAGTACAGTAATAAAAGCATAAAGATTTCTCATTTATCACATCTGACAGCCAATCAAAGACTCTTCCATGTTCCTAAATGAAATGTGACCCATTCAATAGCTCAAAGTAAAACAAATTTTTGACTTTCAAAAAACATCAATTTCTTTCTCTATACAGCTGTAACATATAAAAGAGAATCCCCTCCTCCTCGTCTTCATCTTTTGTGTTAGAAGGTGAAGTTTTTCTGGGACTGAATACAGCACTATGGAAAACTCATCTGGGAAACAGCCAAGAAACCATTTTCATGGACTTAGTCATCTCACATCCTAAAAAAGCTGATGAAAAAGGATGCAACCACTTATTTATCTCTTGAGCCCCAAGAATCAGCTCTGGGGTCACTTGTTAGCTTTACCTTTCAAAATTAGCTGCCATATGCACACACACACACACACGCACACACACACAGATTTCACACTTGTTAACCTCCTGATACCTCAACAGCTTTTAAATTGAGCTTACACTTTCTTTTCCTCTATATGCATTTATAGACCAGGGACAAAACTTGATAGAGATAAAAACATTATACTGGATTGGTAAAAATTCGGTGGGACTACTTACAATGTTCTGAGTTTGGGCATATGGTTGAAACTTGCCACAGACAGTCGAGTGATGTTGTTATTGTTGAGAGTGCTGTGGGTCAAGAAGGAGCATATTAACATGTTACAGTTGGGTGACATTTATTTGACTTTTCTGAAAAGGCAAAGCTTATGGAAATCAGAGTGTACTGTTTTCAGGGACAAGTATCAGGAGAAAACCAACATGCTCTTGGATATACTTTTCCTCACTGTTCAATCCCTGGTAAAACACCATGGTTTAAACATTTCACGAATAATCATAAGTAATTCGAGGTCCCAGGAAACTACAATTCACTCAAATGGAGCTTCCACCAATATTGAGAACATCTACAGCATTCAAGCTAAGCTTGTCATCCTGATGTAAAAAAGAGAGTTCTTGGAAAATAATGCTTTGATTCTAGGACTCCATTTTCTTTTTCTAGCTTTTGAGAGTTTGTATTTTTTGACAGAACATACATGGACAAGATCTGCTTGTTCTTCCAAGAATTTTAGGAAAAGATTAACTCTGCGTTGCAATTAGGTTTTATACAGAACAGAGTTGTTATAGATGATTCAAGCTGCATGAATGATAGAGGAGATTCTGCAGGAATTTTAATACTTTAGCAAACTAATAATTTAAACTTTAGGCAAGGTGCCTGAACTTGAGAGAGGAACTAGGAACAAATCTTCGCCAAGTGTTAGCTAGCACAGACTCATCATATTTGGCAAGTGTACTTTGCAAAGATAATGAAAATTTATGAACAATCCTGCAGTTAAACATTGTCTTTAGGCAACAAATAAAATGCAAACAAGCTTGACTCCAGAACAAGGAAGTGAGCAACAGAATTTACAGTTTTGACTTCAGAGATTACTCATGTGAACAGAATGGAGAATGCGTTCTGGGATTTTAAACACATAATTACAGCACTAATAAATAATTATTCCCAGTGACCAAACCTTTTTTCCTTTTGAAAGAAAGAGCGTGTTACTATTTCTTTACTTTTTTTAAAAAAAAAAAATCCCACAGTGTAATTTGCGTGCATTTTGAATATTTTGATTTGATAAATACTCTCCGATCCTGAAACACAGAAGGCTAAATTCACAGCACTCCGAACAGGAGCAGACTATACACCTCCACATTAACCAAGCAATTCATTACTGGCGCAATGTGCTGTGCTTTACCTTTGTGTGCTTACTTATTCCATGTAAAAAAGCTAAATGTTTTCTTCACTGCTCATAAGGGATCTCCCCTGTGCATTCTTAGGGCTACATAAACAAAGAGGAGAATAATCACAAGAAGAAGTGAAAGGGAGAACCATGGCCCTTTTTCAAAACAGAACAAGAATGAAAGAACAAAAAATGGCCAAGTAGGAATATCCGCAAAAGGTGTCTTAATGAATAAATGACAAGCAGTAAATCTTAGCAGGATTTTCTTACCATGCTCACATGGTAAACGATAGCTCCAGTAGTTCTTCCTGCATAACTTCTTACAAGGTTTTAAAATTCTCTTTTTAAATGGAGGGAATGGAAATCAGTATGTATTTCCATAGCTGTTAGCTATTTAGAGAAGGTATATCTACAAATGTTTTAATTTTCAGATGTTTGATGTTTGCCTTGCTATTATGTATTCATGAGCTACCAATTCATTTTTTGCAAGCATACAGAAAAATATCAGGAATAGACATAAGGGATACATAAGGAATTAAATAATTTTCATAACTATTTCCATCTAATGATGAAAACTCTTGATTTCATTACAGAGATGTAATTTAAAAAAAATGGCTCAATACTTCTACTTAAGTGTTACACACTATTGCAAGTGTGATGACTGAAAGACTTTTTTTCATTTCTTAGATACTACAGTTTTTTTAATACAAGAACACTACATATTTTCCCATAAGCTGTTTCCCAAGTAGAATAGATTTTCTCTTCAAAACAAAAAATAAAGAGAAAAAGCAAAAAAAAATAAATCATAGAAATTCACAGAGAGGATTATACCTATAATATCTTTCATTTTTCAGAACTGTCCACATTCCAGGTAGATTCTGTATCTCTAACACTAACAGCATCTAAGATTCTGCAATTATTTAACCAATATACAAGACTTGATACTTTGGTAAACATTTTGAACTGTCACTAAACAGGATTACAAACTATTTAAAAGCTTTATCATACACCTGTATTTGAAGTAATATACACATTCTGTGCTTAAATAGAATAACTCCAAATGAAAATAAAATGCATAGTCTTATTTGCTACTCAGTGCATATACAGCATGGTCTGATCTACGTATCAGTCATTCTTAAAGCATTACTGGAAAGGAAGATGAATTAGATAGAAAATCTTCAGCATTGTTTGAAATACTTGTCTCAATTTTTAAAAAAACTTAATGTTTACATCATTGCTTATCGCATAGCATATTCAAGATAGTGAACACTTAGTTGTATATTAGAACAATGCTAATACTCTACATGTATTCACAATATTCTAACTAGCTACTTTTCAGCAGACTATTTTTTCCTGTTTTGCATTCATTGAAATCAATGTAAAAATTTTACCAGACTTCAGCTAGCAAGGATGACCTTTTCAGAATGCTAAAACCAGCAAGTATTATAAAATGCAGAAAAGATTTATTTTTAAATATACATCTAACACTTTCACTTGTAAAGAAAGGCTTGCATTAAAAACATAACTAGATTAGACCATCACTGCAAAAGTTATTCTGTTATATGATTTCTTAACATAAAAATCTCACAAAATGTCAGATTTACTCACAGAAAACCAACAATTCATCAACTTCACAATTAGATCTAAAATTGAACCACTAGTGCATTTCACATGGCTTTTTACCAGAAAGCTAATATGCTTGTTAATCTACAATTACAAAGTAAAAAAAAAAAATCAAAAAAAGAATCAAATTTAGCTGTCAGATTCATTCACTCCTAAGTATGGCCAACTAATGCTTAATAATAGAAAACTTTTACCACCAGCAGCTCACGTATTCTTTAGTTTCTTGGAGATACACATACTATCTCCCAAAGAAGCTTCTTCACTTCAGAATCTTAAAAAAACCTCTACAACCAAAAATACCTCCCACACCCCACTCAAGTTGTGATTCACAAAGTGTGATTCAAACCAACATGAAGTAACTCCCTGATACACAAAGTCTTTGACTTCTCTTAATGTAGAAACCCCAGATAAAATGTGACATTTTGACTGACAGAGCAAATATTTCAGGAATGTGTCCTGTACCTCAGATTGTTTGGGAACCGAGGCACTTTGTGCATTACAATAACTATTTTTAAGGTTAGGGGTCACTGATGATAATTTTGTTACCTTTAACATCACTGATGGCCACTTTGAGACAGTGAAAAAAAGTATGCAAAAAGAGTATAGTAATACTAATCTGTAGTGACAAAAAAAGGCATTTTCCCACACATCTATGTTCATACACATAAAATTCAAAATGTTTTAAAAAATAAGCAGTTAACATGGACGTACTTAGCATACAACAGTAGAAAAGTGCCTCCCTGAAAACATCCAGATTGTCAAATATATATATATATCATATATTGTTCCTTAAACAGAGCCTGAAAGATCCAACTGATGTCCGAGTATACAACAAAGGCAGTCCTGAAAATGTTCAGCACTTCAACAGTGATGGATAATTTACAAATTAATTAGATTCATTAACACTGCCCCCGCTACTTGAAAAGGAAATACATTATTTTCTTACGGTATCTGTCATCTGCTCTTTTTTTTTTTAAAAAAAAATGTGTGTGTGTTTAATGGCTGTCTTGCAGAGTAAAGGCACACCTCTGCCTCTCCACATCTTGTTAGTGTTTCATAGCACATCGCGGTGGATTATTTTAAGACATCTTTTCACTAGACCATCCTGACACCAGGCTGCAGCTCGCAGATAAGCTTTCCACAGACGCGGAGCTCCCGCTGCACGTAAAGAGATACAAGGGATACTTACAGCACTTCCAGGTCGCGCAGAGCCCGGAATGCCCCGTCTTCAATACAGCTGATCTGGTTGTAATCCAGCTGCCTGTTAAACAGATTAGGGAGGCATTTGTAAGGGAGAGGAGCGCAGGGCGCGGAGCAGGCCCTCCGCAGGGGCTGCCGGAGCTAGGCCATGCCATCCACCCCCTGCCCTCCCCAAAACGGGGACCGGCACACGCAGCGAGGGGGGCCCGGGGCTGCCGCCACACCGACACCCCTTCTTCTTCTGATCTGCCTGCGCCCTCGCCGAGCCGCCCTGGGAAAGCTCCAGTAAATAATAACTGTGCCTTATATTAAATGCCAAAGGAATGCAATTTCATTACATCAAGAAAAGCTATCCATTAAAAGCTCTCAGCGTCATCTTGCTGAAACAATTTCATTAAGGTAAAGGACGGTAAATCACTTAATGTCACACGCATCCCCTCGGTGACCTAACAGAATCCATTTATCAGAGCAGCCCAGCTGCATGTTAATGCCACCTGCCGCGGTGGGGACCGGCCAGAGACACCACTTTTCGAGGTCTCTTCGCGTGCGTGCACGCCTGGGCCAGGCAGGAGGAGTGGGGGTGTCGGGGGGGGATGCAGAATAATTACCTTCTAGAACATTTCTGCATGTAGAAATAATAGTGCCCAAGGTATTTACATACTTGCTTTACTTATCTCCTTTAATTCTGCTCCAAATGAAACTAGTTTTCCTGCTGTAACCTTCAGTATGCGGTTTTTCTACATACTTTGTGCTCTCTGCAATTATGTTCAGATGGGATGTGGTAACAGAGCACTCGAACTGTGGACATAAAACTCAAAAATGCATCCCTTACATTATTAACCTTTAAGAATTAAGTTAGGAAAAAATTACATTTGATTCTCTGAATGTACCTTTTTAATTCAAAACGTTGATACAGTACAAACTGCCCAATTTAAAAAGTCTGCTGAAATTAACAACCAGGCAAGTACAGAATCACAGTGTTTCTGCTAATAAAAGCTTTTCCTACAAATACTGCCACACATTTCAGGGCACGACTTGCAAAGCCAAGACAATACAACCTCACTTTAAACAACCAGAATATCTTCTCCAAGCTGGTAACTTGTCCTTGTCAGATAATATATATGAGTAAACGTGTGTGAACAATACTAAGAAAATGAACAAAATACAAATGAACTCTGCCCTTCTGTCTTTAATTATGTATTAGCTAGCAGGGCTAATGAGGCTTTTACTAAAGCATTTTCCATGATTCTTCTGAATCTATAACATTTTACTTTATTAATAAATCATCACACCCACTGTTGAATGTAACGTATCAACTTTTACAAAGTTATTCTGGTTTCATCTGTATTTTTCATTTGAATTACTGCTACACAGGAATAAAATATTGTCATAACTGTAACAGTGTCTGTGTTTCTGTGTATTGAAAACTGAATGCAAACTATCATTTCCTGAATATGATCTTTAATCATTTTGGTGCAATGTTAGAGCACCAGTGCTGCAGTACTGGAATATTTAATCCTACTTTCTCAGGCTCCTTCAACTTTTAATAACGAATTTCATTTAACAATTAAGTTAATAGCCTTTTTATTTTAAAGAGGTAAAATATATACATAGTAAAATTCTCTAACCTCTTGAACAATTTATCAAAGCTATTTAAATTAGTACAATGGCATGAAATGTTACCCTTGACACAATACAAAAGAGAAATTGTTTCCAGACAAATTGGAAAAATCTTTTAATGCCATCAAATTTGCCTAATGCAGTCTGCAGGTTAATCTGTAAAAGGGTGAGCTGTATGTTTGCCCATATCTTATTATCCTTAGCTGTCAATGTATAAATCAGTGCTGACACAGCTTCTTCTAAATCATCCATAATATACACAAAGGAAAATCTTGTAACAGTAGAGAGAGAACTTGAGCAAATCTCATCCTACACAAACTGAAAGGCAGATTTCTTCCACTAGACTGGCAGTAGTTGTGGTGCACCTAAAAAACTTCTGGACTTCTTCCTTTAATGAGCCACCATGACCACTACTTTAGTGAAGGGTGAGTTATTTTCATTCAGATCTTCTTATGAGAAAAATTACTTTGTTTGCACTGCAGTAATTAGTTGGTTTCACTTTGCGGGGAGGGAATTTTGTGAGTGGAGAGGAGAAATATTTCCTAGTTTTATAAATTAGTGTCTTTGAAAGATACTACTGACTTTATGTTTTAGATGTTCTTCCATCAGTTACGACCGTGGTATAAATGATCAGACACACACTATGAAGAGCAATTGGCATGATATATATTTTTTAAGCTATGAAAGGTATACGACTTTGAAGACTGTGTACCTGCCTTGAACAGCAGTTTATGGTATTTGTGTCAAGGTAAAGATATCCACTGCATATATAATCCAAACAGAGTATTACACTGTATTTCAGAGCCAGTATATCATTAACTTAGGATGTTCCTCTAACAGATATAATACTGAAGCAGTCTGAATTATTTTGGGTATGAATGGTTCCTAACAGCAAATTGGGTGACTTAAGACATAAGCAAGAATAGTAGAGAAAAAAGCACATACTTTTCTAATTTTAAGTTATGCTTTATCATTTGGTTTTAGTACAATTTGGTTTTAGCATAATCACAAATAAAAATCTACTATGCTATAATAAAACTAAATAAAACTTAATAAAAATATTAAGCTATTGACCATATCAATAATCCTAACTGCATTTTAGGAAGTTTTTTATTTTTTGCTTGGTGTTTTTGGTTTTTGTTTTGTGGTTTTTTTTTTCCACCAAGTGTTTCTTTTCTTCTTTTCAAATTATTACAACACTCAAAGAACAGAAGCAGATTAGACATGTACCGGCAGCTCTGGTCCATCCTCATCCTTCCTCTCTCCCCATGAACTCTTAATCATGTTCCCTCCTGCCCAATTTCCATGTTGGGTCTTTACATGTGGGATCTCTCCATCTCTCACTATTCCTTTCTGCCTCCCCTCTCACAAAAAGGCTGATTTTCTTTTGCAGTGCCATTGCTGTGAAGCTCATAAAATGCGAAACAACAGCTGTCATATGCAAAATCTTTCTGTTATCACAGAAAAAACTATAGGTTCTGTACCCATATCTGCAACATTACCTGGGTATTCTATATACTTACTATTCTACTGCTATTTAAAACAGTAATGTTTATGTGAGTTCAGAAGTAAGAAATAAATAAAAAGCATTCAACTAATATGTCTGCTTTAAAATGTTTTTTTATTTATTGCTTTTGCTGATAAATCTTACACTGTGGAAACATGTTGGCAACTTATATTTTCTTCCCTTTTAGCATATCTTTTCTACCAAATAATGCTAAACAAATATCTAAAAAAACCCTCTTGGTATCTCACAAGAAGAGCATTTAATGACTAAGAGAAGATGTTGCACATGTTTGAAAGCTACCACCTTTATACAGAAAAAATCTGTTATCTGACTCTGACAGAGAAAACCTTTACTCCTTTCTACGGGCAGTGTTGAAAGTTTGGAGAATTTCAGTCAGTCTGTCTGCTTTACTCTCCTGTTCTTCACAGCTTGGCGACACTTTGTGCTCCCAAGCAAGAGAGGTACCATACAGCTTTACCTTCTCCTCCTTTATTCAGAAATTATTACATCCTCCTTGTGTATCAATTTAATGGTAAACTTTGTTTAAGAAGTTATCAGAAAGTCAGAACCCTTTCTAGATCCCTGCGGTAGCTTTCTCCCCAGTAAAATATTTAGAAAATGCTTCTAGTTTTAGCACATTGTGTGCTGGAATTTTATATCACTAAAATTTTTCCTTGGAAAAAAACAGAGTACATGGTATTTATTACGGCAATACAATTTTTGGAAACAGTCACTGTTTTTAACGTCTCCTTGTATCTTTTACAACAGAACTGAGTTATGTTTCCTATTTCTCAATTCCGTTCTCACTTTCAACAAGAATCAATAATTTCAGAGGTTTTAGTTGAGAAAGATGTAACAAAACCAGAATTTATTCTAAGTTTTTATCAAACTTGAGAGAACTGCCTGTTTCCCATGACTATTGCAATTTATTGAGACTATTCTTTCATTGGGAAGTCAAGTGTGATTGTTTTTCTACTTATCATTTATCTTGCTAATGTTGTTCATTTTGTTATTCACTAGATTTTCTCTGTAAATATTTTGAATGTTTTTTTCTCTAATATACATAATAAAGCAAATGATCAACGTTTTCATTTTATCCCCAAATTAGAAAGCAAGACTTGTAATACTTCCAAGTAAGGCATACTTGCTGAATAAAATGGATGGGAAGGGAGAATAGATCTATTGTCCAAATTGCTTCACTTCCTCAAAAATTGTCTAGTGCTCTACTTCGCTAAACCCACAAATGTCTTCTAGGAGCAAAATAAAACAAAATAATATAACCAAAATGAAAGAGAAGATCGCCATGAAAAGGAGGATAAACACATTATGAACAATCTCTAAATTTTGAGATGCAGATACTATCACAGTATGACTTCCCAGAAATAATCCAATTCAGCAATTTGAAGGCGAACAGGATCAAGACTATTATAATGTAGGGAGTGAATATATTCCTATTCTAGCCTAGAAGCCATATTATTAAGCACATATCCCATGTAAGTTCTATTTGAGTTGTTTATTTAAATACTAATCAGAAAATCTGTATCTGTATAGAACCATTTCTACTTAGTAACTCTACATACCAAAAAAGTCCTGCAACATCACCATGACGCCTTACTTAGTAAAGCAGAGGCAGTCTCTCTTTCCAAAGTTGTGTTGATACAAAAGGGCCTACAGGCTCCCGAGACTCCAACTAGTTCTTACATGAGACTTCAACATTGAACGTCTTCCCACAACAGATTATCAACTCAGTTCAAAAAAATCTTCGAGCCTAATTTGTTTTCTATTATCACAGGTAATGGGACACTGTGCAAACGACAGCAACATTTGATACTTTTTCTAGTAAAAACATAGGCCATATTTTTGAGTAAATTCTAACACCATGTGAAAATTTGTTTAGGTATTGCCGCTTGATTTAGGAGATGAAACTACACCTA